TGGAGAACCCCGTGGGCTTTCCTGGCCTCTGCTTAGCACTGGCAGCGGGCCGGGGGTTACCCTCCGACAGATGACAAACAGGAATGCCAGCAAGAGGTGGTAGCCAGGGCAGAGCCGTGTCAGAGAAGCCAGTGTGCCAGGAGCTGGACAGGCCTGCCTGACCAGCTCGGGCATGGGGGTGAGGTAGCTAGACTCCAAGGGGGGCAGCCTGGAGGGCTGAGGAGGAGGAGGAAGAGGAGGAGGAGGAGGAGGAGGAGGAGGAGGAGGAGGAGGAGGAAGAACCCCTAAGGCTAGTAGCTTCTAGAACCTTCCATCAGCCTGGCTTCCCCTGAGCTGCCCAGGAGAAGGAAGTGTTCCCCCACCCCACCCCACCCCCACACACTCTGTGTCACTCTTTTCGACCTCTCCACCTTCCTCTATCTTCAGGCACTGTTTGATTCTGGGATGATCAATAAAATAACCAAGGGCAGGGGCTGGAGCGATAGCACAGCAGGTAGGGCGTTTGCCTTGCACGCAGCCGACCTGGGTTTGATTCCCAGCATCCCATATGGTCTCCCAGCACCGCCAGGGGTAATTCCTGAGTGCATGAGCCAGGAGTAACCCCTGTGCATCGCCGGGTGTGACCCCAAAAGCAATAAAATAAAATAAAATAACCTAGGGCAATGGGGTGGGGGTGGGGGGAGCAGATGTGGGCAGGGGTCTTGAAGGCAGAGAGGAGTCATCTAGGAGCAGACTTTGGCCGGGCTGCACCTCCCAGCTGGGACTCTCTCTGTTTGGCTTCAGGTTCTCTTTTACAAAGTAGGGGGGGTGTTTTTTTTTTATGAAGGTCTCCCCGTCACTGCATTCCCAATGACATCCACCCAAGATGGCACCCCACCCCTGCACCTCTGGGAACTGGTCCCAAGGAGACTGGACAGGAGCTGGTGGCCACGGAACCCAGGCTGAGAAGGCAGCTGCTTCCCCAGGTCAGGGGGCCCCAAGAGGGACATGAGTGAGAAGCAAATAAAATGAATACAGCAGGGGCCATCGAGCCAGGTAACGCACAGCCCCACAAAAAAAAAGTGGCCTGCTGGCACAGAGGAGAGGAAAAGGCTTTCTGCCGGGAGCTTAAGCCAGTGGAGCAGAGGCCCAGCACGATTCTGCTCGGCTTTGGAGCGGCTTGGATAGGTCGCAGATAAGCTTCCATGCTGAGCCCAGCGCAGGACCTCCTAAGACTCATCCCCAACCCTTCGCTAGACAAACTCGAAGTCAGTTCTTGGATCTGTTCACCTGAGCTAGCCCCAGGTGCCTCTCCACCCACTCCACACACACACACACACATGCACACACACACACACACATGTACACACATGCGCACGCGCGCACACATGCACACGCACACACATGCACACGCACACACATGCACACACATGCACACACATACACGCACGCGCACACACACAGGCACACACTCTAAGCCTCAGAAATCAGTGGAACCATCTGCTTGGGGAACGAAAATGAGATATTACCAAAAAAAAAAAGTCGCTCACAAAAGTCATTCTTTCTAGAGGACAAATGGGGGAGAAATAAAGCTTTGACTTGGGCTTTGGGGGCAGCACAGAAAATCTTTCAGTTCCTGAGCCAACAGAGGACTTTTTCCTGCCTGCCAGCCCCTGCCCCGCCCCCCCGTGGCTTTGACACGCACTTGACACTCATGATACACTGCACACGCTGCCTGATGCTCCCCCAACCCCCCACCCGGCTGTTTCATGCTGGAGATGGGAACGGCACAGGGTTCGAGCTTATTAAAGCCTCATCTTCCCAGCTGACGTACAACCAGAGTCTGCTAATTACCCACACGACCCACTGACGTCAAGCTGAGAGAGAAAAGGAGCCCGCATGGGGGGCCCATCCCACCCCCCCCACCTGTCCAAAGAGGCGACAGCATATTCACCATGATTTGTCCCCTCCCCCAAGGGGACAACTTAGATGAAGTGACAAAGTGGCTCATGGAGGGAAGAAGAGACTAAATCTCTCCAGAATAAGACCCCTCCGCGGTGAGGGGGTGGGTCTCAGCCTGAGCAGGAAAAGGACATGGACCACCTCGCCCCCGCTCCGCACGAGATCTGGAAACGTCACGTGGAAGAAGCTCCAGCAGAACCTGCCATTTAGGGCTCTCTAATTCGGCTGAGGAGAAATTTCCAGATCTCAGTCATGCTCAGCTGCCCATGATGGATGCTCTCGGCCAGTCTTGAGCCCGCAACTGCTCTCTGTGCCTGTCTGGCTTCACCGAGTGCCAGCAGGGTGTCCGCTGACAGAAAGTCAAACCCCCCAGGCCCCATGGGGTCCCCTTCTCCCAAATCCACAGGTGATAATAACAACTTGGTTGCTATTATTACTTGGCAATGATACGGAGGCTATTTGGGGTGCTCCCCCAAATTCTAGCCTGGGAGATACTAGGAGGTCAGGGCACATGCCAAGCAGGCACCCTTCCTGGGTCTGACCCCTGACATTATGTGGTATCCCACACACGGCAGGGTGCAGCCTTGGGGGCCCCGGAAGCAATGTCGGAAAGGGAGTATTTACCACTTTCCACCAAGTCTCCTTGGGGGCCACCCCTGGGATCCTGACAATCACTCTGAAATGGGGGCCCCACTGGGGCCATCTTCCCCAAAGGGGAGCCAGTCCAGGGGTACACAGACTTGGGGCTCACTCATTGCATGCTCCCCAGAACTGGGTTCATAGGGTTTGGCTACAAAAGCAGTTTGGTCTCTGTCTTCTTGGGGTGAGCGTGGGGTCCGGACATCTGGTGAGGTGAGTGTTCCGGAGGGCTGAGGGGAGCTCTGCGACCCCTCCCCTCACCCCCCCACCCCACCGGCCCTGGCAGAGTGAACACATTTGGCTCATCTTCACTGCTTCTCCCAGAGGAAAGGATGGAGGTTTTCCGCAACCCAAAAGCTGCTTTAAGCTTTGAAGGGACACAGTGGGGTGGCAGGGGGCTGCAGGGGCGGTGTGGGTGCAGCTAATGTAGATTCCCCCATTCGCCCTGCCCAGAGTAATACTCCTTCCCATCCGGGTGGGGAGTACATGGCAATCAAGAGAGAGGACAGTGATCAAGACATTTGCCTTGCACACTGCTGACCCAAGTTTGATTCCCAGCACTACATCCGGTCCCCTGAGCCCCATCAGGAGTGATGGTGGAGTGCAGAGGCATACCCTGAGCACTGCTAGGTGTGGCTCCAAAGAGAGAGGGAGAGAAAGTGAGGAGGAAGGAAGGAAGGAAGGGAGGGGAGGGGGAAGGGAAGAAGGAAGAAGGAAAGAAGGAAGGAAGGGAAGGGAGGGAGAGGGTAGGAGAGAGGAGGGAAGGAAAGGAAGGGGAGAAGAGGGAGGGGAGGGACAGAGATAAGGGGAGGGGAGAGGAGAGGAGAGGCAGGGGAAGGGATGGCTGAAAGAAGGAAGGGAGGGAGGAAGAGAGGGAAGGAGGAAGGGGAGGGACGGAGGGAGGGGAGGGAGGGAGGAAAGGAAGAGGAGAGAGGAAGGGAAGGAAGAAAGAAGGGAAGAAGGGAGGAAGGAAGAGAGGGAGGAAGCCAGGAAGGAAGGAAATCCACCTTTCTCAGGTTTTCTGACAATGGATCCCAGAACTGATCCTGGTGCTCGATAGGACTGAGGGACCATCCTGCCCAGAACCTCAGGGAAGCTGGTGCTCATCTGCAGCCAGGCCCTGGGCACCTGCTGTGTACCCAGGCCAGGAGGCAGGTGGCAGCAGTCAAACAGACTTTCAGGAAACAGCACATTTGGGAGGAGCCGTGAACTCTGAGGGACGTGTCCAGTCTGAACCTCGGAGTCCACTAGTCCACACCTCGCCTTATTCTAAGACGCCAAGGTCTACCCGACTCCATCAGACGCGGATTTCCAGAGGCAAAACGCCTCGGACTCCGTACGCATTCCTCTGTGCCGTCTGGACCAGAAACAAACAGGAGGGAACTCGGAGCTGCATCTTCCACGAAGCCGCGCTCCCGGGCTCCCCTTCCGTCTCCCGGTGGGCGAGGGGGTGGGGACTGGACACCCATCCGGGACGCCCACAAAGCTGCGGCCGCTGGGGCGAGCCGGCCAAGTTGGCAGCCAGGTGCGCTGGGTGACAGTTCCCAGGAGTGAAGATCCTGGAGCTGGCTTGGAGGGGAGGAGCAGCTGGGAGCACGGAGTCGTCCGTGCTGGGACCCGGCCAGCAGCGAAGGCAATTAAAGGCAGGCAGCAGGGGCCCCGGCCATAAAGGGAGGCGGGGACGGAAAGCCAGGGAGCGGGAGGCAAAAAGGAAGAAAGGTCTGGAAGAGCGAGCGGAAAGAGGAAAGAGACGAACAGCTGCAGGCTGGGGCGGCGGAGCGAAGCCCGCTGCGCGGTTCCTCCCCTCGAGGCACGCGCCGAGGCGGGGGGCCACGGAAGAGACCCTCCAACCCCCCTCCCGGGGCTCCGACGGGAACCCGAGGTCCCTCCCCCAAAGGGCCTCCCTTCTCCCCCAACCTCCAAGTCGAGGGCAATCCGAGCAGCTGGCGGAGGCCGGCGCTCACCTGGGTGGGGGACCCGGCGCCCCGCTCGGCCCGCTGCGTCTCCCAGCTGTGACCCACATCTGGGGCGTGGAGAAACGCGGGCCAAGCGGTGCCAACTCCCGCTTCTACGTCCATCCGCAGGTACAGGCAGAAATCGGGTAAGGCACCGAGGGCCCCGCACTCCGAGAGACGCACACTTCCCGCACGCCACCCCTTAGGCCCCCCGCCCCCTATCCAGGGCCGCGTCCGGAGGGGGCTCGGGGGGTCCCGGGAGGGGAGCGCGGGGGCGGGGGACGAGGCGCGCCCGGGGCTCCCTCCGCTCCCGCACGTGAATGGAGCTGCGGGCGGACGAGGGCGCGCGCGGGCGCGGAGGAGGGAGCCGCCCCGGGCCTGGATCGGGGGGCGCACACACCCCGGCGGGGGCGGCGCCTGGAGGAGCCGCGGCGGCGGCGCGGGGCGGAGGCGCAGGCCGCGCGGGAAGGGCGGGCCGAGAGGGAGGAGCCCGGGGGCGCCCCGCGGCCGGCGCCACCCGCACTCGGAGTTTGAGCCCCGGCGCGGCCCGAGCGCACGCACGCCCCGGGCGCGGGGTCGGAGCGCGCAGCGCGGCGCCGCCCCCCGGCCCTCGGCCCCCCAGCCCGGGCGCCCCCGGAGCGGCGCGCGGAGGGAGGAGGGCGGCCGGGCCGGCGGGCGGCGGACTATGAGGCGCCCACCATGGTGCGATGCGACCGCGGGCTGCAGATGCTGCTGACCACGGCCGGAGCCTTCGCCGCCTTCTCGCTCATGGCCATCGCCATCGGCACCGACTACTGGCTCTACTCCAGCGCGCACATCTGCAACGGCACCAACCTGACCATGGACGACGGGCCCCCGCCCCGCCGCGCCCGCGGCGACCTCACCCACTCAGGACTGTGGCGGGTGTGCTGCATCGAAGGTACGGCCGGCCGGGACCCCCCCACCTCTCCCCAGCGCCCCCGACACAGCGCCCCGCGCACACACAGACACGACACACGCACGCACACACAGACACGCACACACACACAGACACACACACGCACACACACGCACGCACCCTGCCCGGCGGGCGCCGGCCGCGAAGGGGGTGGTGGGCGCGGCGCGGGCTCCGCGCGAGACACAAAGGAGCCGGCGCGCGCGGGCGGGTCCCCTCGCGGCCAGCTGTGCACCGGCTCGGGGGTCCCTGCTGGCAGGGCGGGGGGCTCCCCCACCCGCCGAACCCGCAAACTCTCCACTCGCACACGCACGCACGCACACCCCCCTGGCACCTGCACACAATGAAACACGCCGAAACTCACACGCGCGCGCGCGAACCCGGCCCCGGAGCGATCCCGAGGGACCCGCGCCGGCGCCCCCCCCCCGGGGGTGGTGGTGGGGAGGGGGGCGGGAGGAGGCGGGGGTGGGGGGAGCGGACGCCAGAGGAGGGGAGGGGGGAGGGTTGCTTGGCAACCGGTGTCTGTGCGATTGCTATGGGAACTGGCCATCCTGGGCGGGGCCGGCCGGGGGCGGGGAGCGCCGGGGCTGCTCCGCGCCGGCTCCAGGCCCCGGGTCGAGGGGCGCGGCGGGGTGGGGCCTGGGTCCCGGGGGTGGGGGACACAGGGATCTTCCGAGCTTGACCCCGCTCCGCCACCTACTCTTGCACGGGAGTCCGTCCTGCTCTGTTTGGTGGGGAGGGGAGGAGAGAGACCGCAGGTCCCCCGCGATGTTGGGGGTTTGGCACACAGGCCGCGAGAAGCCCCTTGCGGGGATGTGGGGTACGCAAGGGCGACTCAAGCCCCTTAGAACGGCCTAGAGGGGCGTGGTCGCGCCGTCGATGCGGGAGGGGCGGGGCGCTGCGCCCCCCAGAGGGCGCGCTGTGACCGAGGGGCGGGCACTGTAAGGTCGCGGTGCCTCCTGGGGTCGGGGGTGGGGGGCGGCCAGGAATAAGGTTCCCTGGGACTTTGGGGCTCTCTCCCTCCAGGAAGGGGCCCCGACCTCTCTGATGGTCACAAGCCCACAACGTGGGGCCCCTGACGCGCGCCTACCAACCCGGCTTCGGAACTTGCAATTCCAAATGACCTCAGTGGCGCGCGGTCCCGGCCACGTTGGGGACCGCTTTGCGCTGCGGCTCGGGGAGGGGAGGCGACATGGGCGAAGTTGGCGGAGCCCCGAGCGTTCCTTTAAGGGAATCTTCGCCCCGACTTTCCGCTCCAGGACCCTTTGCGCGCGCCCTGGCCCCGCCCCTCGGTTGTTGGGGAATCGCTCCCACACACCGAACCCTCCTCGCTGCAGCTCCAGCCCCTGCAAGCAGTTCCGCGGGCCGGCCCCGGCGCGCTGGGAGACGCGCGGGGAGCGGCTCGGGAGCCGGGCCTGTCGCTGGGCGCTCCGGGAATCCTCCGGGGGGAGCTTCCGTGGGGCGCCGTGGGCTCGGAGTCTCGGGGGCTTGCCTCGGCCTTAGACCAGGCCTGTCTGGAATCCTGCCCGCCTGTTTCCCCGCCTCCCACCACCCCAGACACACCACACACACACACACACACACACACACACACACACACACACACACACCTCCTCTGCCCGGAGAGGCTGCTTTGCACTGTGCAATTGGAGCTTCATGCTAGCACCAAAGAACCTTTGAGTGGCAGAAAGGTGTGATCGAGAGTTTGGGAAACAGCCACACAAAGGATGTCGGCGCCCACCATCACGCTCTCCCCTGTGCTCCGGAAAAACAACGTGTGGGATGCACAGTGGTCCCTGTCATGACACCTACTCTCCTCGTCTGGAGAACGTGTCCATGCCACTACCTGCTGTGGCACCTGCTTAGAGAGCTAAGGCTGTGTGATCCCCGACACACACACCTGCCCCATTCCCCCCACCATTGGGCTCTGCCTGCAGTGCCCAGCTAATCACGTCCCCATTCAGACACTTGGGGGCCCTGGGCCTGGCGGTTTCCCTGTGGAAACTGAACTGGTCCTCCTCCTTGCCAGCCTGCCTGGCCCTCTGCAGAGTGGCCCGAAGGCCTTGTGGATTAATTCCTCATCCTAATTAGGATTGATGCCACACTTAGCATCCTGCCAGCTGCCTCGAGCCGTTTGCACTGGGTGTTCATCAAGCGAGCCTCAAGCTGATCTGGACAGCTGGCTCCGCTGGCCGAGGGAGGGCGGGGAGCTGCCATCTGGGGGAGCTCTCTGGCAGAACGGGGTGGCCCTGGTACCCCCCAGAGTTCAGGGAGGCTGAGGACCAGGCCAGCCCACAGCTGCAGGCAGAGCCAGCCGGGGACCCTGCCCAGGCAAGCGCCTTCAGAGCCTTTGTCATGACTCCATCGATTGCATCTCTCTCTCCACCTGGGTGCCAACTGCCGGCGTCGCTCTTAAAAGCTCTTTCCAGAGGCCAGGTGGCCACCTGATGTCCATGAACCTCCAGCGCCCAGCTGAGATCTGACACCTGGACCACGCTATCACCCCAAGCCACCATGCGAGGGAGGGGTGTGGAGGGGGCCAGCACCTCAGTGGCGACATTTGAGTATGAAATGCTTTTTTTTTTTTTTTGGTGAGTGGGGGGTTGAAGCGATGTGGGGGTGGGGAAGACCATAAGTATCTGGAGCACAAACGGACTCCTCCGTGGAAAACATCTGTCAAGCCTTCTCCCTGGCCCTGACAAATGCATTCCTTCCACCCATTCTCTAGCAAAGTATTCTAAAGTATTGCATGAACCAAAAAGAAGAAAAAGAAAGATCATATAGCTGGGGACGACTGCACCCTGAAAAGGGTTTGTAAGCCAACCGGCATCAGGGTTTTCTGGCTGTGTCTGATAAACGGCGTCAGGGGGTCGGGAGAGTGTGTCCCCAGGTACGCCAGGTGGGTGGTCCTGATGCAGAGCCATCTGCGCCCAGCCTCACCAAGGATGATGGAGCCGCAGCCCCCAGCCAGATCCCAGGTCTCCGCGGGCGTGTTCCCGACGGCCGAGAGGGGGCGCTGCCTCCGCCCCACGTGCAGCTCAGAGCGAGCCGGGCACTGGCGCCGGGGCTGGGGAGGAGGCTGCAGGGGCAGGTGGGAGCCTTTGTCGCCGTACAATACTTTTCCCATCACGCCGTCCAGTCTTTCCCAGACAGCCCCCGGGTTGCCATTAAAAATAGCCCCAGTGCCCGGTGGAGCCCAGGGCTGTGGCCGGACCCGCGGCAACGCGCGGGCCTTGCAGAGCAGAACCAGCGGCCGTTGCATAAGCTGCGCGCGCTCGCCTCTCTATTTCCGTCCTCTGTCTGTGTTTCTGTCTCCCTCTCCATCCGTCTTGCTGCCGCCGTCTTACCTTCTTTTTCCGTCGGGTTCTAGGCGAGCCGGTCCCCACCCCCGTTCAGCCGCCTGCTTCCCACCATCGCTTCCCCCAAGACCCCCCACTTCGTTCTTCCTTTGCGCCTTTGGAGACCCTCCACCCAAGGCCGAGAAGTACCGTGGGTGGGGGAGGAGAAGGTTTGCACTCTGTCAGCCAAGTGCATACGTGTAGTTGTGTGGTTTGGAAGGGAGTGCCCATATAATGGTGCGCCGGGCCAGAGCACGGCCGTCGGCCTGGGGAGAACAGGGCAGGAGAGAAGGCGGTGGCCGCCCGCCCCTGGGTTAGCTCTGAATGGCTGGAGAACTCCGGGCTGGCACACACAGTCCTGGCAGAGCTCGGCCTTCCCCGTGTCCCCTATAAATAAAACGGTCCTGGCACACTTGCAGCTCTGTCACAGGGCTGGCCCTTAACCTGGACTGGGCTGCCTCCGACATCACCTTTGGGCCAGCTCTGTCCCCAGCTGCTGTTCAGGGGACGGGGGTGTAGAGAAATTCTGGACCCCTAAGAGAGAGGGTCCTTGGCCCCCATCTGGTTGGCTGCCCTGACCAGGACAGCCACTGCGTTACCACCGGGGAAAGGAGAAACGGGAAATGCTCACAACTCCCTCTGCTTTTTGGGGGTGAGGCAGAGCCAGCCCTCACTGGGGGGAGGGGGTCTCTGCCTCTTCCCCAGCCTGGGTTGGACTAAATAACTCTACCCTAGACATGGCTTTGGAGGGGTCCTTTGCCAGGAGTCCCAGGGGCCTAACTGCAGGGATGGGGGGCTCGGGAGAGGGGCTTACTTTCTCGAAAACCTGGACCCCTCCAGGGTTGGCTGGGAAGCCGAGTGCTAAACCACTCTCGCAAGATACTGCGGGGTGAAAGGCTGGGACCCACCATCATCCTCCACGCGCTCCAGGACTTCCCTCTGTGCTTGCTCTCCTTTCTCTCCCAGTCACAGTCAGCTTCTCCAATCAGCCCAGAGGGTGACAAGGGGCCAGTCAGTCACCTCACCAGGCCTCCTCCGTTGCCCTCTGTGTTAGTCATAAAAGCCATCGCTTACCAAAGGCCTCCGCGCAGGACTTAGGTTACTTCATATAATTGCCAGCAACACTCGGAGGTAAATATTCATTATCTGCCTTTCCGAGGTGCAGAGACGAGGCGCATGATCACAGAGTCTCGGGGGCGCCCATGGCCTGCCCATCTCAGCTGAGGGTGAGCAGAGGGGCCCAGCCTTCTGCAGACCAGGGGGCTCTTGGCTGTTCCCACGCAGCTATGGGACAGGGGCAGGTGCAGGGGGCTGGATGGAGCAGGCTGGGGGGCGGCTGGTACCCTGGATTGGGGCGCCTCAACCAGGGAGTTTTCATCTTGTTCTCTGCAGCGAAAGGTCACAGGGTGCGGACCCTGGGCTCCCGCTGAGGCCTCATTTCCTTGCCCGCAGCCGGATGCCCTCCTGGTGGGCACTGGTGGGTACAGCTTACGTGCTCACCCACCCTGTCTCATCTCCGCCAGGTCCCCCTGCCACATCCCACCTCCAGATCCAGTGGGGGGGTTCAGGGTGCCCTGGAGAAGCACAAGCCTAGGCAGGAGATGACACCCAGTGACACAGGTGTCACCCCCACCCCCAGGGTCCCCA